TGTAACACCTCCACCACCAAAGGAAGGTGAGTTTTCCTGAAACAATTCCTTCTTTCCTTGTCTTGCCCCTTTTCTGGGTATAAGAGTTTTCTATTTTGCACAACTCTACAGAGTCCCTTTCGTATCTGCTAAGGTGGGATGATGTCCAATTTGTGAATCATTTAATAAAGAGAGTTAGATTTTTGAATGTAGTCAGTTAAATTTTGGTCTTTAGTTTTTTAAAAGCACCTCATCTCAACCAAAGAATTCTTGGTATTAATGATATTTAAATCATTCCTTTTAAGATTTATTTATTTATGCATACAAGAACTGGGGTATAGGTCAAAGGTGTGGGGTCATGAGAGGATTCACCAGAGACAGAGTGGGGAACAGAACAGGCAGAGCTACTGAAATATACTGCTGAGGGGAGCAATGGGTAGGTCTGGAGTGGACTGCTCCACCTTGTGGGTCACCTCCCAGGCCCAGGATCGAACTAGTGCTGCAGTGCCTGTGGAGAGCTTCATAATGCTGCGCTTTAATCCGCTGCACCACCAGGGAGGGCCCTGATATCATTCTTACAGGAAAGTTAAATTTTAGTTGGATAGTCAAAAGTAAAAACACTGAGAAAAACAGTAGAGGAATTGAAAGAATTCAAGATGATTTTCTACAGAGCCCTCCTTTTGTCGCAGGACTCCCTTGGACCTATGCTTTGCTAACCTAACCTTCCTGTTATCGAGCCCCCAGGCCAATGGGAATTCAGCCAATGTGCATGAAGCCTACCGGCCATGCAGACACCACGCCAGAAGGCTGACCTTGAAGTCACCTATGACTCATTCCCACATTAAAATGCACACCTCTGGGTGGTGACTTAAATGCTAGTGAATATGTGACATGGGAACCATCTGTGCATGCCCCAGGGTAGCCCAGCTCTATCCTGGTATTCCACCCTGGCAACTAACCCATAAAAAAGGGATCCCCCAGGGCTCTCAGGCTTAAGGCAGCTGCTGCCCCTCTCCTATAGCATCAACTCACCGCACTTGAAATCTACTATTGAGTTTTCAAAATTTGTGTGGGGGATTAATTGCTCAAAGTTAAAGAGCCTTCTGATTCAGTAACACTTCCTCTTGCTCCAGCTTTTGCTGCTTGCTCATGCTTTTCTTTATCTTTCTCCACCTCAAAACAATTCCTGGAAAGAAAGAGGCAATGGTCGTTTGGATGTGTGGTTTCCTCTGACGGTAGATTTTCCTGCACAGAGGGACAAAGTCTTAGCTCATAGCTATCTTAACTGCTGATGAGTTACCTGCCCTAATTGAGGGCACAGGGCTGTGTAGTGCATGCTCTAGCCTGAGTCCACTTCATTTAACTCAGATTTCTACCCACAAGACTCCATATCACCACCACACAGGCCAATAGGCCAGCAGAAAGAAATATGATAGAAACGAGATCACTGAAGAATTAAGAATTTGCATAAATGACTGTGTCCCTACAAGAGAGCAAAGAATCAGAAGTAGTTGCATAGTCTCTTGGAATAAAGCAAAATTTAAAATGATGTTAAGTTAGAAAATCATGACATGACACCTCCACTCTCAGACCATGCAGGCTTCCAGGCTGCTCCCATTAGATGCTACCACGTCTCAGCAAGTGTTTGATGCTGAATGAAATGTTGTTTCATCCATGGAAAGGACAAATGTTGCTTCTATTAATACTTAGGTGTCAGCCGTAGTCACATGACCCTTCCTTAAGTACCAGTGCCCCAGGGAGGTGGCCCCTCCCACCACACAGCACAACAGCAGTGTGGGAACACCTCCAATCTCTCCCATACACTCTTACATAGTAGGTGCTCAATAAAACAGCAGCTATTAGAATTCGTTATGAATCTTCTGTATCTTGCCATCCTACTACACAGGAGGTGCTTTCAAAGGTTGGCTCACATTACATTTTCAAAAGGATCCTATAAAATCTCAGTAGGGAGGGCTCAGCTTTTGCACTCACCTCTGAAATAAATTCTAGTATCTCAATAGGGTGAGAACGTTCTCCTTGTATTGAAGCATGATCAAAGCCTTAGCTTGTGTCCCAGTGACCCTCAGCATGACTGAGTATGCAGGACCCTTTGACAGGTGCCATTAGGGACCTGAGAAACCAGGATTTTTGTCTGAGGAAAGTACTGAGATAAGGGACAGACGAAGGATGCTGAATGACTCCGATGGTGGCTGTAAGAAGCCAGCATGTCTATCAAGAAAACTGCGTTCCTCTTCTCAGAAGGACTCTGGGATCGTGAGGAGTTCAGACTCAGTAGATGTTTGCCATACAGATTCCCACAGTCTCCCTCATCTCCAAATGACAAGGGAGGCTTTGGTTATCGACCAAAGAGAGGGAGCTCTCCCATTGGTGCAGGTGGTCAGTGCCCAGTCTCAAATAACACACACCTTTACAATCCTACTATCTGAGTTGTTTATAAACCCCCCCCCCCGCCACTTCAATTCCTTCCTGGGAAGCAGCATGTCTGTAAGAAATGACTAATCACCGGCTCATTTGGAACATACTTTCTGTTTGCTGTAACAAAGTGATATGATGGTGGCTGTGGTGACCAGGTATCTAAACTTCACAGGGCTCCACTGAAGGGGATGAAGGACGTGACCTCCAAGGCACAACCTGCAGAGGTAGAATGTTCTAATCCAGAGAAGGAGGGGTGAGTCATGACTGTCTGCATCACAGGAAACAGGCTGCAGACTCCAGACAACACAGGGAAGAGCTGGGTAGCATATGAGGTTCCGATTTGGGTGGGTGGGAACACCGGGGAGTGCCCGTGGGAAAGTGCCATTATACAGGAAAGTGGTGGTTCAGGATCCAGGACTGGTGCTGGCACCGAGCAGGGTCAGCCTTCAAGTAAACCTGGGTGAGGGACCGGAAGCATTCTCAGCAAATAGAAGTCAAAGACAATCCCCTCATTGTACTTTATGGGCATGTACATTTTCCCTCATCAGGACTGATTTTGATACTTTGGTTAGAGAACCTTAAGAATACAGAATAATGAGACAGAGGGTCTGCCTCCAGGCAAAGGAGCTGATGTTAAGGAAAAGTATGGGTTCTAGAACAATCTGGACCGGAGTGTTAATCCCAACACTTTTACTTAGTAGCCACATGAGCTTCTTCATCTCTTCATCTGCAAGTATTCCTGATGTGCGCTACTTTGTAGGGCTGTTGGAATGTATGTTATGGATATGAAGCATTTGGCAGAGTAATTGGAAAATAATGTCTTTCATGAGTGGCAGTTGCTTGAGATTTTTTTTTAAATAGCAAGTGACACCACCCTTTCCCCTGGAGAGATTAATTTTATTAATTCAGGAGCTGTCACAGGATAGAATATGCAGCTTTCTAGGACAAATAACACCAAATTAATCCACAGTGCTGCTTAGCAAGTAAGACAAAACAGTTTTTTGTTGTTGTTGTTGTTCACATTTGAGGATATGTTGAATTGAATGTGGGGAAATCTTCTCCCAGTTGAGTGCATATCAGAGGTTCTAGAATGTGTGTCCAGGACCAGCAACTTCCTTTCTAGGCCCCTTTCCATCCGAACCACCCCTAATTTCATTCATTTCACCATAACTAAATATAGAGCCCGCCCTTAGAGTTTGCCAAGATAAACTCAAGATAACCTAACTAAAAGGCCCTGTTAAGGCATTGGGGTTTGGGTGTAAACCCAGTTCAGGACAAGCAGAGGCAACACAGTAATTTCCTGTCCTTCTGAATGGAGTGTCACTTTTATTTTTCCAGAAATCCCTCCAAGAGGCTGTGCATAAAACAACCAGATAGTGCTCTGGGCCCTGCCTTTATTGCTCCAGGGGGAGTTCTTCTCTGGTTTATTGATGGTAATAAAGTACCCCGTAAGGGAAGGTTTCCATTCCAAGGTTTTGGCCTTCAGTGTTGAGAAATCCCATCTTTATATCTGGCCTCTGCTCACTGTTCCATAGCTTCACCTAATTTACCACCGAGATAACTAACGTTAAGCATACACCCCGCTGAGGGGACTCAGTCTCCCCACCCCCAAACCATCTCTCAAGGAACGTGTACCTTACTGTTCTCAGTCACATACTGCCCCCCAGCCTCTTCTCCCAACCCTCCCTGCCACCCTGCTTCCCCATTCCTTATTTTCCCTGTAGCTTCAGAGGGTAGTTTATAATCTTCCCTATGAGATTACCACCTCTTGGCAAAATTCTAGGGCAGGGTGTTTTGATGTTGGTTCTGCATTTCTAACACAGTGACTTTCAAGGAGCAGATGTTCCCTTAATAACTGGAGAATGAACGAGCCAGTGAGTTAGTTTATAAACATTTTATTTATCCTACATTCTTTAATAAGCCAAGCAAATCCAAGTTGGTATCTTTTATTTTTACAGAACTATACAGTGAAATGGCTAAGGGAAAGCAAGAACTGAACGTTGTATAGTTTTCTCCTCTGTTTTTTGATCTCAAAATGTTAATGCTAACTTTTTTCACATTTTGATGGAAATGCCTATTAGAGCGCCATGTTTTGTTATTCAGCTTCAAGGACTATGAAAGGTTTCTCAATTTGCTTTATGAAATAATACTAATCTGAACCTATTGAATTGTAGTAGATATAAACTAAAGCATTCATAAATTTATATTCTGTATTAAACCTTCTGTTAAAAACGCAGTATCTAAAAGTTAATACAAGAAAAGTAAGGAAAGAGAAAAAGGAGAGCTAAAACTATGTTTACCACATGGAACAGGAACACAGAGAACAGTGTGTTCTCTCCAGGCCCGCCTAGGCCAGCCACTCTCTAGAATGTCGACTGCCCATTTCTTCCACAAAGAAAACAATCTGCATCAGACTTCAACTCTTGAAGTAAAACCTAAAAAAAGAAAGATGTAAAATGCCAAGTTACCAATATACAACAGGAATCTAGAGGTGACAGACAGCTCCTCCATCCCCATCCTGGTCCTCCACGGTTAGAAGACTGACTCACCGTGTCAAGGCAAGAGGGCAGGATCAGCGTCAGCTCTTACTTCCCGTGGGAGGAACTGCCGGTCAGGGTCCTGGTTCGCGCGCTGGCTACCGCAGCAGTGCGAGCTCTGGCGGCAGCTCGGGCTTGGGCTCGCTCCTCCTCGTCTCGCAAAGCCTCTTCGTACCAGGCGGGGAAGGCACTGGGCACGGTGTCGTGGACCTTGGCTAAGAACTCAAGGACCTTCATCTTGCTGGTTTCCACATGGGCTCTTGTACCCCACAGGAACTCGTGGCGCGGAGGGTCACTGTGGGCCACCTGGCGATACTCCAGGTACTTGAGCTGCACCAAATCGTGAGTGATGACCTTCCTGGGGTCCCCATAGATGAAGTGCTTCCTGTCGGAATACACACCCATCATGTTGAGCACTTCCCAGACCTCTTCCTCTGTCGCGCAGTTGCCTTTCATAAAGATCACGCCCAGCACGATCATCAAGAGACCGGTCTTCGGCATGTACCCGTCGTCATGCATGATTCCATCGGTGGTGAGATCTAGTTTGCTGACGAGGGCATAGCAGTGCCTGATGGGATCCACTTCCTTCAGGTCGACACCAAAGGCCAGCTCCATGTGCTCAGAGGCTCTCTTGAGAATCTCGTTGAAATGACTCTTGTACTTTTTGATAACAAACTTCAGCATGTCTGCCTTCGTAATTGGCTCTTTCTTTTGATACTTCTGCAGCAGGAACTGCACCAGTAAAACCACCTTCTTGTTGAGAGGATCTCTGCGCATGACCTCAGCGCTCCTGGAGGACCTGGGGTTCGCCTCCTCCTGGCTTTTGGCACCTTCATCTGGATTGGCCGGTGAAACTTCGGCAGCATCAGTATTGGTGGTAGCGGAGCTTCCCTGAGCTTCCTTAGGAGCTCTGGGTGTCGCAGCAGCAGGCAATTCCTGAGGTTTGGCCTCAGAGTGAGGACAAGCAGAGGAGATGGGTTCTCTTTCTGCTTCAGTAGCCTGAGCACCCTCCATTTCCTGGGTAACCCCCCGGGCCTGGCGGCGTTTCTCGCGGGCCCTGAGCTTACTCTTCTGCCCTCGTGGCATGCTGACAAGTTTCAGGAGTGCAAGTAATTAGGCTGATGAAGACTTCACCCTAGAAGAAGGAGCAAGATTTGGTGAGATTCTACCCCAGCTCCAAGGAAAGCTGCCGCCATTGGTTCTCTTAAAGGAGCCCCTAAGATGCGAGGCGGGTGAGACACAGAGATCACCCATTGTTCTGCTGAGGCTAGTCACCTCTGTTTTAACTCAGATACGAAAACTGATCCCCTGCCAATCTCCGGACCACTGACTTGGCTTCCGTCCCACCGATTCCCCAGTAGGGGGCTTTAGTCCACAGAGCCACCACGGAGTCGCTGGGAGTGGTGATGGGAGAGGGGCAAGCCACGGTTGTGGGGGTGGGAGGCACCTGTTCTGGGCGGGGCCTGTCTCCACTTTTAAGAAAATGTACTCATTTCCACACCTGTCAGTCCTGTAGTGATGTAGGCCACACCTCTCAGCCCAGTCTCCTGAGTCACAGCAGCTGGGGCGGAAGTCGGGGCGAGCACTTCCGGCCACGGGCACTTGGCGTCTCTACTTAATCGCCGGGTGGGGCCTGCTCACCTCTCCCACAGTTCTGAGTTTGGAGCAATTGGGAAAAACTCACAGAGCGCTTCATTCCTGGCTTTAGGCAGGGCCTGCCAGTCTCCCTCTGTGAGTCAAGTCAGCTGGCCTCAGACAAGGCGCTCATTTCGCTCAGAAGCCCCAGTTGAAGTAAAGGAGCTTAGCAACCATGCGTGGGACACCCGCAAACCTCCCCTCCCAAGCAAAGCTGACAGTAGCTGGACTTCTTGTGACCTCTTTTAGAGTGGCTTCTCCTCTCAGTTCTCAGTGTCTCTCACCTGGACGTCCTGTAGGGGCTGAGCCACCTCTGTTCTGGTGACCCGAGGCCAAACCCATCAGGTAAGGCAAACATTCGGAAGTTATGTAAGCAAAACCGGCACCTTAAAATACTTTGCTCGCCACACATAAACATATAAGGTTGCTTTTTGAGACTTGTTTTACTTCCGTCCAAATTCTTAAAGATTTTACAAGTGTCGGGACATACTCGTTCTTTTTGTAGATAAATGTTGGACATTGCTACTGTTTTTAATGATATGTTTTCCCTGCTCCTATTTTGTGTGACTAGACTCCTAATTTTGCTATTGTTATTCAGTTTCTTGAGATGCCTTATGTATTTGAAAATTTGGCAGTCAGTTTCTTAGGCGTTTTAAGAGACTTCTATGATCTCTTACTCTTCACGACTTGTATTTTGGCGCCCTGGAGGATGATTGTTACTATCCAATCCAATCCACGCTTGCACAGTGGCACTGGTACCATGCCTTTGCCCTGCTCTGGACTTTATTGTGAATGTTTTGTTTTTAGATTTTGTTTAAATTTACGCATAGAAGAGCTGGGTTACAGGACAGGAGTGGGGGTGGAGAGTGGGGTGTGGGGGTGGAGGGTGAGAGGATGCACCAGAGACAGAGTGGGCAGCCGATCAGGCAGATCCACTGAAACATTGCAGAGGGGAGCATAGAGCGAGACAAGAAAGGTCTGCTTGCTAGGCGATCAGACTCCTGCAGCAGTGGCTACAGTTAGCCCCTGCGCACCAGGGAGCTCCCCATTTATTGTGAACTTGTTCTTTAAATATGTTTACTGTTGATTTTGCCAAAGGTTCATTCTAATGGAAGTTTGCTGAAACTTATTACCATGAACTAGTGTTGACTTTTTAATTTTTTTTTCTTCTGAGCATGATCAAATGCTTTCTCTGTTACAGTGAAGTCCAATTTGTTTTTTGTTTTTTCTCCCTAATGTGATGTATAATCTTTGCTTTGTTTGAATACAGCCTGTTTGTTGAATTCACTGCTGTGCTGAATATAGTATGAATCTAGAATATTCCTTCCTTGGGGCATACCCCTTCAGTTTTTGTATCAAGGAGAACTAACTTGTTAAAGTGGTCCAGGAATCTTCCCATCTTTGGAAGAGTTTGCTGAATATGGCGATTAGCTTTTCCTCATCATTTGGGGAGATAGTCTATAAATCTGGTTGGTCCTGGAACATTTGGAGGGTTTCAGTTTTGTTATTCGGTGAAGGTATTAATCTTTATGAAGCTATGTAGTAATTTATATATTGTAAAAAAGGTTCCATTTACTTGAGTTTTCAAATGTAGAGACATTTACACTAAAATTGTTTTATTGTAGAAATTCTCAATCATAAACAACATTATAGAAAATCCAGGAACCATAATCTTCAATAGTTACGCTAAGAAGCCTGTTCAGGTTAAATTTCGTCTCTGTTGGAGTGGGCCGCGCAGCAGTGACCCCGTGCGCTTCCATTACGACATACGCAGCACCTGTTCACTTTGTGGTGCTGTTGGCGGTCATTGAGGAAAATCACTGTTCACCTGTGAACCTAATAAGGGCTGCGGAATTGTAATTCTCTAATTCAGTCATTCCTTTGAAGATAATAGGAAAGACCCTGTAGGTAGATAGGGCCTTTTGCTAGCCCCCATTTTGTTTCCTTAAGGTGAACCTAACAAATGCCCCATTTTACTGCCTACAGAGAGATTTACAGATTAAACAAAGCTAAATCTTTAATCAATATTAGACAACTCTTTAGCCCTCAATTTTATTATTGTTTGATCATTGCTTTGCAACCACCCCTGGCCAGGCAGGCCCATCGTTGGTTCAGGCAGTTTAAAAGAACCTCGGGGCCCTTGGTATCATCCCCACAGGTTTTTTTTTTTTTTTAAAGCACACAGGGGCAACAAGCCAGCAGGGAGACAGCAACTTGGGTCCCCTGTGAATGTCTATATGCTCTTTCCTCTGTTCTCTCGTGGTCTCTTCCCCTGTCGCGTCCTCTCATTGCCTCTCCATTGCTGTCCTCTCTGAGTGATACACCCTCAAACAGCCTCTGCCTCCAGCCTCAGGTGTGCACTCAGTATGCCTACACCTTGCTGCAGGTGTCCACAATCAGGCACGCTCGCTCCATGCACACCCCCAAGTGCTTTCTGCATTCAGGCCACAGGTGGTAACCACAGAGGCCAGTGGCATAAAAGCCTGGCATTTGACTTACCGTACAATCATTCATACCTTTAAAAAAATTTTTTCTAGGTATTTATTTTCTGTGCTATTTTAAGTGGAACGGTTTTCCTAATTATCTTTTTAGAATGTTTGTTGTTACTGAGTAGAAAAATACAGCACACATTTCCTAGACATTTTGCCTAAAGCAGTTTTGCTGAGTTTATTAGCTCTGACAGGTTTTGTGCGTGCTTATGCATCTGTGTGTGTGGCAGGGAGGTATGTGTGGGGGCATTTAGGGTTTCGTAATGCCTTTATTTTGAGCTTGCTTTTGGCTTGCCAGTAAGTTAACAGATATAAGGCCAAGCACCATGCCAAAAGCTGGACCTGTAGTCATTCATTCATGAATGGATGGATGGATGGATGGAAATCAACAGAATTTAAAAACTCATTTGCTCTTTCCCATTGCAATAACTTAAAAATGTAAGAAGCACTAACTTTCTCTAATATGTTAGTATTTTAAAGGCATCTCAAAGGCCAGATAACACAGTGAGGACTGACGCGTGGAAACTGAGCTGAAAGCAGGACACTGGGCTGCGGAGAGGCGCCCCCAGCTTACCTGTGTGTGGTCACACGTTCATTTGTTAGGCCTCACTTTCTATTGTAAGAGGTTGTTGAATGAGACCACTTTATTGTTTCTCACTGGTGCTTAATAAAGACAATTGATTTTAGCATTTATAGACCATGCATAGATTCTAGGAAAGGAATTTCAAGTGAAATGGCTAGAAAGGAGTAATCTGCCAAACAAATATAATAACAGCATATGAATCATGGTGTGACCAGGAAGTTGGTAGAATTTTCATTGGCTAAGTAAGAAATTGATAGGGATTCAGGGAGAAAAAATGGGGGTTTGAAAGAGACAAAATTACATTTAAATACTAGTGACCTGTTTTACCTGCAAAAGAAGTAATGTTAAAAACCTTTTTGAAATTAAAAAATATATATATAGGAATATCCACCAGGCAGAGAAAAATTTGGTTCATTTAGACACTAGGAGCTCAAAACATTGCATATATGTAAATATTTACATATGTATTTTATTTGCGAAGAAAAAGGTTTAGACTGAGTACAAGACAAAGATGGTGTCAGAGGTGGTGGCTTTTTCTGGCCAGTTAGCAAAGATTCCTTGACAGTATATAAGCAACTTTAATTAGTTTCTTGTATTGTAATCAGTCTTGTTCAGTACTTTTTTTTTTAACCTTTCCTTGGTAATTAGTCATATTTTGATAATCAAAAGGATGGTTAAAATTGACCTCAATTATAAACTAATATTAAAGTCTTTATAAGGAAAAAAAATACAGGGTTTTGTCTATGATAAAGGCTTCTTAGGCAGTTGCAAAGACCCTTATGAGATAGACTTTTGATTTAGCTGTATTTAAGAATACCTGTCTTTTTTTTTTTCTAGTGGACTATTATCTGTCTTATTCAAGTCAAAAGTGGAATCACAAAGAGTTATACCTAGATACTCAGAACTGCTGGTTATTGCTATGGAGAGTTTAGCAAAATGAAGCTCTGTATTTACTTCAAAAAATGCTCATTATCACTGTTTGGGGAAAAAAAAACAGCACAAAGCATACGTTTTGTTGATGGTGGCATGTTGCTATGTGAAGGACAACATATTAAATGCACATTATGATGGCAAAGTGGAACAACTCATTATCTGCTTTTTACTAGACTGAGTCATTTGTGTTTCTGTTAAAATGAATACTTTCTTTTTTCTAATTTGTTTTCAACTCTTAAAAATGTCAGTGTTTACAAGCATAATGCTCTGTTTAAATGCACCTATAATTCATATGAAAGAATGTGTGTGTTTATTATACATTCTTGGGAAATTAATCATTGTGATTATTGTATAATAATTGGTATTTACATCAGAGAGGCCCTTTTCTGTTTTCAGTGGTGCCTTTTATGGCATCATGTGCAATATAGTTTATGGGCCTTTTTCCA